TATACTTCAGTACTTCTGTACCAACATCTGCATCTGGTTTATAATTTCTGTGCACAGTCGGGGTCCCTGAGCGAAAATGAACTCCACCAACTACCACAGTGACTCATAATACGTCTTCATCATGAGAAAAAGATTTTATTTTATAAAACTCAATCATTCTGAAGGACACTACCTTGGTTCCTTATATATACCATTATATAGGATGACAGCAGGGGGCCAGTTGCTGTATTTGCTCAGGGATATTTGCTCCGCAGTGGCCCTGTGTCACGTCTCCATTAAAAATGCCATGTTCTCAGTAAGTGTTGCAGACAGGCCTGTAACGAAAGCTGCTCTGTGTAATTAACTGTGTAAATGCAGCTTTGTAATTAAGACACAGAAAAGCTCTCCCCTAAATTAGGTCGTCAAGGTCGAAGCAAGATGAAACAGAAAGGCTTTCAAAGGCACACACTGTACACATGCACGTACACAGTGGCACAGCGGGCCGCACTGTGTTAAGATGTTGCTCATGAAGAATCAAAAACCAGCATACAATGGATATATTTGGTTCTGCTTTAGGTGCATAAAATGGTTTGTTACGCAATTTTTCATTCACAGCCCGCAACAGATGTGGCGTGAAATTTTCCCCTTCAGAGCAAAAGTATTTGGCAATTAACAGATTTCTGGTTATTAAGCCCTTAGGACTAAAGCAACCGACTCCCATTGTCATTTTGTTATGATATGAAAGAGGAACCAGATGTGTCCAGTGCTCCAGCTCTGAGTGGCCTTGATGAATAGCAGCTCTGGATATATACGACTTTCATCTGTAATCCAGCATGTAATTGCGAGGTGCTTTTCTGCAAACATGCAGTGTGAAGGCAAGAGCTGAGTGAAGGCTGGTTAAAAAACTCACCTTATCAGCCTGTCTCATGTAGCAGTAGAGGATCCCTCTCATACACTTGATAGCAGAATGCTCCAACTCATGCGTTCGCCCCATGTTGTCATCAATGCGTCTGCACAGCAGGAAAAAGAGGGAGAACACATGAGGGGTGGACTCAGTGTTCTTGAAAGATAACAATGACTAGCTAGGTTTTAATATAATAGTATTGTTGTTTTTTCTAATGGTTTTATGTTTTTAACAAAGTAAATAAGAGGAGCAGGCTGCAGACAAGGCATCAGGGAGTAATGCCTTCAAGACATGATGTTTTTTAATTTTAACTTAATCAATAAACCATAAAACCAAAAACAGTTCCAAAATGTCTCCACAATTCCAAAGCCACCATTCTGACATTGACAGGCCGACCAAACCTGACAGCCACTTGGTGAGGGCCCCATGTATTCCCACCCAAACCTGACCAAACAATAATAAATAAGTCCAAATCATATCAAATAAAATTAATTAATCACTTAGACACAATAGGTAATGGACAAAGACAAAAAATATTGCTGCTACAACAACAAACCAGATTTTGATAAATAAAAATAAATGCATGCAAAATGTTGGTGATCCTGCAAACCACTGTTTGCTCAAGAAAACTGTTCCCATGTAAATACAACAACTACAGCAGGTCAAAGGTGAACAAGACGGTTGGTCTTACAGTTTAATTGTTTGCAATGAATACTTTGGGTGATGATCGTATTATTTGCAGTAGAACTAACCCTGTTGGATTTAATATTGACAATGAGCATAGCAGTAGTATTATGGTGCTCAAACAAAGTGCAGTGCATTTGAGAGTTATTGTTGGTTTTGTTTCCTGGTCTTGAGTAGAATTCTTTTATTTAACTTTGGTTTGGACCAAACAACCTGAGTACAGCTGAAGGAGAATATCAAATATTAGGTCCAGTAAGTTACAGTCTCAAAAAATGAATTCTCAAGAGTAGTTATTGCTTCATGGTCGAGATGTGTCCATCAGAGAAGATAAATAAATAAAGCTGAGGAATCTGTCAGTCTACATTGTGCTTACTATCCAGTGCAGTCACTTCACCTGTCCAATGAATGAGTAGCCTGTCATTTCATATGATTACATATTTACTTTATTGGTTTGGAAGATGCCACTTTCTTCTGGTGGTTCATGGACCAGGACAGTGTTGCAAGGCTACCAACTGCATCCAATAAAATGACCCACATCAGGTCTCCTGACCAGGGCTAACTAGCTTTCCCTCACACATGATCATACAAATAAATAGAAGATGATTTGAAGCCATGGGTCCGAAACTATGGAATGCCCTCTCTACTGATGAAAGATCTTCAGTCTATGTGAGTACCTTCAAAAGAATCTAAAAACTTTTACTTTCTCACTACTGTGCAAGCAATATTTGTAAGGCAGACTGCCTATAAATCTCATCACTGGCATGCAACAATGGCTTAAAGAATCATTGTGCATTTTGTAAAGCCTTAAAAAAAGCTGTTCTCTGCTAACAGGCGTATCATTACAATTCCTGAGTGAAAAGGCAAGCTACAGTTATAAAATCACTTTTGGACTTGGAGAGTAATCTTGGCAACATATCACTCAAAAATCAATCAATTATATCTGCAGTGGCAGTCAGTATATCCCTGTCAGGGCCGGCAGATCTGAAATGCTCACGACAAAGGTCATCACAATAATGACATTGGATATTGACAAAGGAAAGCCAAACCACTGAAGTAAAACCTGTTTGAATTTCAGTGCTACGCAGTGCATTAATCACGCTGTCTTTTAAATGTGACCCTCCACATCAAAACTGATTGCAGGCAGAGGGTAAAGCAGGCGGCTTTTCATCTCCCAACGTCCTGTTCCCACAGTACAAGCATCTAATATGCATGAGATGATCCTGCACTGACCGGGGGGTTGCGGGAACATACCCAGCTCTTTTAATTTAATTACAATTAATCAGAAAAATACAACGTGTGTCAGTAAGGTCAAAAAACAGCCCAGCCCCCATTAAAAAGTTATAATGTATAAAAAGTCATAAAATGAATAATTAAATGTGACTGGATATGGTAGTGGATAAAAGCGTACAATGTCTACTTAGAGAAGAAGATAGTGGCAAATCCTACTGCCAGTCTAGTCATCGACTCTCACACACTCGAACATATACCCATAGCAGCTGGGCGTGAAGTAAGTAATGGCACTAGCCAAGCCTGTCAGATGAGAATAATCTTAATTAAATCCCAGTGACAATTCTAATAGGAGGCAGCCATGACTGATGACTGGGATCTGCCGCTGGTCACATCACTGCAGTAAACTCTATTTTTACCCCTGTCTCTCCCCTCAATCTCATTTCTTCACTCTCTCTCTCTCTTATCTCTCCTTTCGCTTGATTTCTCCCTCTGCCTACCTTACCCTCCAACTCCCGCCTCATATCTTCTCCTTCAGTCTCTCTTTCTCTCTCCATATATATTTTCCATCCACCCCTCCCCTTTCTTTCTCTGTCATATTAGATGCTCATTTTGTGGAATTTTCAAGAGACTAATCAGTGTAGGCATCAAGAGTGGGGACAATTGTTAAAGGAGTTTGGGGACTTGACTCTTCTCAGTGAAATTATTGCCTTTAAACCGATAATGAAAGTGTGCTTAAAAGGTAAATCCTTCGAATCACAGAGGCAGATTGAAGATCTGGGTCAGTGAGTGTGAAACTTACTGAGAGTTTAACAAAACCATGAGTTCAAGACAAAGGGATATGGGGTAGAATATTGTGAATCAGTGATTGTTAACTGATGTCACTTACGATTCTTGGTCTGTTTTCTACATTATGTTCAATGAATGTATCAGAGGTGATATTTGTCCACTTCAGTGTTTCTTTCACATCACCTTTGCAGCAATGGTGGTAAGGTGGAATACGTTCCACCCTTACAGCACACATCGTACTATCACACATAGTTTGACAAATATTCTGATGTCTATTGCATCATTTATCATCCTGAAGAGCCATACATCATCAAAAAAACTGCACTTTGCACTATTTGTGCACAGAATTAAATTTACGGTCACTTGCATATTCATGTGTGCATAAAATGATGGACGTATCCTTTACTGAGGCAGCAAGCTACTGTTCAAAAACAGCTAAACTCAAGACATGGTTAGTCTTCATCCTAATGCTTTATGTATGAGGTATATAGCGTTATCCTCAGCATTTTAGCACAATATTATGCATAACAATAGGGTAGCTAGCAATAGCTACTAAAATACCACAAAGCTGTATAGTCGTGCAGCATTTTGCAGGGGTTTATTGTTCATTGTGCATGTGTGTACATCATACACTCACCTGTAGGCCATGGCCAGGGCCCAGGCACCAGCAGCACAATACAGGGAGTCCCGGACCTTGGCCTCTTTGCACGTGGAGCATGTTTTGACAGGGAAAAGGCCTGTGGTGGGACTCTGGTAGTTCAGAATGGTTGTCTTGACTAGATGAAGAGAGAGAAAGTTGTGAATCAACAGTTATTGCATGAATAGCAATGGAACCATTATTAGTTTAAACACCAGTGAAGAATTAAGCAAATGTAACACAACAAGCCAGTAAGCACCGCTCCATCAGACTTTATCAAATCAAAGTGACAGTAGGCTATTCAGTTCCAGTCTTCACTGACAGTACTGTTTTTGAGAGCACACACTCTCTCATGCCCACACACACATTACATGACCTTATTTTGTCTATTTTTACTGCTACGCAGAAGGAGCATCACTCCCATCACACCTTAATCAACCTCTTTTTGATCCCGTGTAGATGATGATGTGTCAGATCCAGTGTTTATCCCATTTTGTTTTGTTGTTCAAGTGGGCACAGTAGTTCCAGAGTCAGACAAGAGTCATGCAGCTTTTCACTACCAGCATGTGCTTTCACTGCCTCTGATCTGTTTGTTCCAGGGTAGTGTGCATGTGTCAAGTGGGGAAAATGTTGCCTGACCTGTGACCTCAATAAGGCAGCTGGTGCTACTGTACTTTTTACATTTTTTGTGGTTAAATCATACTTTTTGCTTCAATTCAGTTTAGAGCTAGACTGATCATCTTGTGGGTGTGTGCCTCCACCCAGATGCAGTTCATATCTTTGTCTGTCCAGACCATATACTGTTGGGATGGACCTCATTCACCAAAGGTAAAGACAAAGGTCTTCAGCTCCTGATGCCTGGCTGCGGTGAAGGTCATAAAATCCCCATCTCTTCCATTTAAATGCATGGGACATGGGACAAAGTGTAAAGATGTTTTATTATTTAAGATAGCTCTTATCACACTGATGTATGTTCAAGTGTTAATCTTTCCAGTAAATTAGTTTTAATTAGTTATCTGATTTGACAAAATGGTGGTGAAACATCATGATTGACAGCTGAGACTGATTTACAATTGCATGAGCGTGTACATTGATGAGACGTTGCAACCACGGCTCCATTCCCCGATCACTGCTGTGCAGACTCTGGCTCCCAATGAACAAGATAGCGCTGATCTTACTTCAGCTACATTTCAGGATAGTGGGAGGAAGTCGAAATGCGTCGTTCCTTTTTATTTACAGTCTATGGTCAAGACTCATATAGTAAAGACGTTGAAGGGATTTATTAAAATGTATTAAGTGTATTTTGTCCTAATAAGCTAATTAATTCTCGCGTTATCATTTCATATTTGAGTGCAAGGGAACTTCTGTGCCAAATGTTAAGAAATTCTCTCATGGCTTCCTGTGATGGGCTATTGCATTCAAGAGAGTGGGACAAACGGACAAAATGAAAACATATTGCCTCCGGCAATGGCTGTCACTGGTGCACAAGCATAAAAGGCTGGAACCTTTCTGTTTTTATCAAAGTAAATCTAAGTTAATGTAATAAAGTCACTTGGAGCTCGTTCAGCTTGTGTTATGTAGACATTTACAACAAGCGCTATGCAAGTGGGACAACAGATGGAGTGTGATAACAGATGAAGGCCTATTTTAATGGAGCAAAGTGTGAACTGTGACAAGTGTAAATTGCTGCAACAGTGAAGAAAAGTAATAATTCTCTGAAGGATATAATTGGAATCATGATGCCATTTTTTTACTTCAGTGCACTTTGATTGTGACTGCACAGGCTGAAAAGAGGCAGTCTAGTCCATGTCAGTGTTTTGCATCCCACTGGCAAGACAGATATGTTAGCACCTGTTCCAGATTTACATGACTTTAAGCAGGACCAGTTACTTTCATTTGTCAAAACATTTCAGTCGAGTGAGATTCATTATTCTTCTTCTACTTTTGTTCAGACATTCATGTCACAAGAGGAATAAACATTTTCAGTGCATTTAAATAACTAGGTTAGATGGGATCTTGGAATAAAAGTCAATGCTAGAACACATCTATCCATGTCATGATCTATCTCACCCACCTCACTGTTACTTTTACTGTCTTAAGACTTTGTCATGTGTACGAGACAATTAGATACATGGTTATAGTATGCATAGCCAATAAATTTGTTGTTGACTGGAGCAAGTTCCATTTAACCTAATAAATTAATTAAATCAATGTAAGAGAACTTGACTTACTCAACTGGCATTTCCTCTAGTGCCACATTTGCACAACCTTCAAATAAAACATTTATTATCACTGAATTATGACAACTATTGGGTAAATTACCATGAAAAATAACAAAGTCTCGCTTACAACTTAAATTATACCATGAATTTTCATCTGAGATCAAAGTCTTTATTTCTTAAATACTGAGGTTTATCTCTGTAATTACTGACCCTACCTTGTCATTATGAGCATACTAGTGCATGTGCTGGTATTAGCGTTTCGCTAAAAGAACTACTATGTCTAATTAAAGCCACTAGCATGGCTGGAGACCAGTTTCTCTCCTGGCATCAATTAAACCCCTAAAAATCATCTCTGTTCCTCAAAATTATATATTTAGAAGCTTGTTTTGAAAAGAATCCCATCACAACCATGAAATGTCTTGGAGGTAACTCATTGCCTCATTAAGTTTTTGCTAATCTATAATTATGCAAATGAATTCCACCTCTATCTCAACCCACCTCTCAGCCGCTCGCCTGCAGCTGCGACTCTGCTCATCACACATGCAAACCTCTGCTTGCTTTATATTTTGCTAGCTATTGTATGCTACACAGTGTGGTGGCGAAAAAAAGGAGCAACCAGAAACCAACTCAAAGTGGTGACGATGAGTGAATTCTACAAGGTTGCCGTCAAATCAAAATATCAGAATGGTGATGTATTGTTTCACTCTCCACAATGTTTGTAACATAAGAATAACATGAGTCTTCATCTTGTTTACTTTATCAAACTGCTTATAGCATGTTGCTATTGACAGATAAACCTTGGTTCAGATGCCAGCTCTGACTTAGCGCTAGTCGCTAACATAACCTGCAAACTACTGTTAGATGGAAATATTCAACCATGACATGAACTGCTTATTTCACTCATTATACGTCTTGTATCATCATCAAGAGTAACATTACAAAGCTTATTTGCATTGGGGGTCATTAATAATGTATGCACGTCTCCTAATTGACTCCAGTCCTTACAGCAGACTAATGTGAACTTAATTGTTGAAATTCAAGATCAAGAACTAAATTCAACTAAATTCAAACAGCCAAAAAATAAATTACCCCCACGTTTTACAAAAAAAAAGGTTATCAGGTTATGAATTAGATATGAACAAAATATCTAAATACAGACCTTCAGAATATAGATAAGACACATTTGGAAAGTTCTCTGGATTTAGGAGTTACAGAACTTGTGATTTCCGGCTCAGACAGAACTTATTTCAGGAAAATGGCCTTTGAAAGATTTGTATTGTGATTGAAATCTGCAGATACAAAAAGTCTATTATGGATGTTTTATTTCCATCATAGTCTAGAAGAAAACACATCATTGAAGCAAAATAGCCCAAAATCTCAAAATAGACAAGGTTGTCCCATATAATGTCTCATTTTTCTCATTTAAAACTGCCCAGTACTAGTTTGATGATGTCCATATACAAGGACATTTGCAGATTTAGATAAAAAACAACCAGGCTACATAAATAATTACATTGAAATACGGTCCTACAGAGCCCAGAAACAGCAGTTACAGTAGACCTGGAATATCATGTTTAGCCCACAAGATAAATAAATTGTTGTTTTGAACTCTCTTGATCAGATGAATACTTACTGGGATAAGGGTGCAACAGTAAATTAAGTTTAAATTCCTACTGTGCAGTGCTAGCATCACCAACACTGAGGGACTTAACACCTAGTCATTCTTGCTGGTGTAACCAAAATGACTGGAAAGCTCTCCAATGCGAAATAAGGTCACTTCTGTGGAATTAGGGGAGACATTGTTCTTCCAGGGATATCACTATGACAATCTGACTGCACTAAACTGACGAGCGGCGGTAAACTAACATGGTTCAAGTTCACCAAAGTTCATACTAGGCATTACTGATCAGAGGACAATGGAGGAAAGCTCTTACTGCTAACAGATCATAGCCTCCAATAATATATGCTGAAATATTACATACTCAAACCGAAGGCCTCAGGGAAAGTAATTTATCTATTTCACAAACACACAAGCACACACACACACACACACACACACACACTCATATCCTCCTCTCCTGCAGAGGTCTCCTCACTGATGACTAATCTGTCTGGAGGGATCACTTCATTTTTCATCAGAACATTATGCCGGTGCAAATGAAGGGGACATCCATTCTGCTCTGTGGAAAACAGAGCAGAGAGACAGAGAGAAGGAGAATGATAGAGAGAGAGATGGAAGAAGAAAGAGATGAGGGGAAATAGAGATAGAGAAGATTGTGTGCGTACAGAAACAAAAAGAGGAGGTGTTTATACATGTGCGTGCGGCCTTCCGTGTGTGTGTAAATAAAAAGCATCAAAGTAATGGGTGCTGGGACAGAGACAGGGGGCGGGAATGTCAATCTGTTTGCCTGCTTGTGTGTGTATTGGTCAACTGAAAGTGGCAGTCACATTGGCAGTGAGATAAAAGAGGTTTTTAGAGACTATTAAAGTAACTGCATTTGAAAAGATGAACGCTGAATATAAAGTGGCCCATGTGCAAAAACAAATATACAGAATGATTGGTTTGCCCTTGTATGGACACTTGGTCTCAATGTAGAGTAAATTAAGTGTAAATACAAATGTTGAGACACACACACACACACACACACACACA